AAATTGTAAATGTCTGACAATCCAACGTGTAAAATATGTGATGTAAATATTGGCTATCTGAACCTCTATCAGCCAATGGTGGGACAGCCCTTAACTAGCTTTCGCTGTCGACGTCGTTCGCGCGGAAATAAAATACTTAGCAAGTAGCCAATGTATTCTTTCAGATAAAAAGTTCCCTATTTAATGAGGTAAATAAATAATTTGTAGAGCACTAACTTTTGGAGTTTTATTATTTATTATTATATTTCATTTTTATTTAATTTTTTCACAACTACAACACCACAACTAATCTGACTACTATTATAAATGCGAATGTTTAGATGGATGTTTGTTAGAGTTTGTAGCCTGAACGGCTGAACGGATCTGGATGAAATTTGGAACAGATGTAGAGCATAGGTTGGAAGAACACAGGCTACTTGCTTTTGTTTTTTTTCATTCCACGCGAAGTCGCAAACGAAATCTAGTACAAAATAAATGAAAATAATCTATACAATTATATTATAATAAAGCGTAAACAGACACTTCTTTGTTGCCTAAGATGTCAGCAATTATTGCATATTTTTGAATAATTATTTTTTTTAATAAAAAAGCCCTACACTTACGTCACGCTTTAGGCTATATATTTTTACGACTCAAAACTTAGGTGGCAAATATTTTGGATAAAAACCCTAATGTGGGAAAGAGCCCATAAATTGCTGCCAACATCAAGGAAGAAAGATTGCTAAGGTTTGTCATGTCATTTTGACATTTGCAACTGATACATTGACAGATGTAAACAAAATAATAATATTTTCATAATTTCATGTGGATGCAGCCGCACGGGAACAGCTAGTATTAAATAAATACGCCCATATTTTAATTTATCTTCTCAAAAGTTTCTTGTTGATGTTAAGTTAATTTATGTTGAAGTTTATGTTGGAGTTTGCTTGGAGTTTTAACAATTTGTGAAGCGAGAAATGCGATAATACGCTTTGCAAACTCGATGAAAACATTTCAAGTGGCTGGGAAATTAAATTTGCTCATTAGTGTATTTATGTTTATTTTCGCTTTGATTCCTATGAACTTATATGGTGCGCGTACTACTCGATTTTTAGCTCTGCAACTAAACAGTTGAATGGGCAAAACAATCGACAATCGCACAACAGTTTTACGATTTTAGTCAAAGGTGTGCGCCCGCTCTTATTAGACAGAGAACATGCACATAAAGAAAATATTTCCCTTACCTACACATACCAACCAAAACTACTTCCACTTCATAATTTCTTAAGTACGGATAGGATGAAAAGGGTATAGCACTAAAATTAGGTTACATTCAAACTGATCTTTGAACGGAATTGCGTCCACTTCACGCGTATTCGAATATCTGAATGTATTTTTGCATCTAAAAATTTTTCGATTACCATTTAGTTTGTGCGGATTCTGGCGTGCGGCCAGTGTCCAGTATAAAATCTGTCAGCGATTTCTCTTGTTAGGACTTCCGCCATTTTATGCATGTTTTTGCGCAGGAAGACATCCTTTTGGCCATGTTTACTTACGTAAGCTAGTGCCAATAAAGAGCATTGTTTTGCAAATATTTGGACATAAATCTACAATTTCACATTGAGACTGTCGAAACATTATGTATTAAAATGTTTTACAAGTTAATTTAGTTAATCATAACAGTGGTAGAACCAACTTTACAATTTTAATCTGAAGGCCAGATCGCCTCCCGCAGTATCACGACCACACAGATGACAGGCGTGAAGAGAAAGCAATTCCACGTTTCGTCTGATGAGTTTTGCTCATGGTCTTTCTTATAAGTATAGGATGGGAAGGGATATGATTGTGGAGATAGACAGGAAGAGAAAATCCTTTTTATGTGTGTCTCCTCCGTCTATTAAGGGTAGGCAACGCATCTGCAATTGTAGATGTCTTTAGGCAGCGGACGCTTCGCCTTTTCGGATTCTGGTGACCGCTAGCTCATTAATTTTGATCAATTAGTTGCACATTTTTCGTGCTGGTGTAGGTTTAGTTTTGGAAATATAAGTCCTATAAATCTTAAAAATTACAATTTTTAGAGACATTTCTACTCAAATCCGACTTACAGTTATTTATTTTAAACATCTTATGATTTTAACATTTCGCAAAACTCTCGTATTAAAGTTTAATGTTGCGAACCTTAGCAAACAATGCGAGACCCGAGCTACGGATTGAAATCTTTGTTTTTCTTCAGCCCCTCAAGATACGTATTTCACATTAACTTTAAAATTGTATTTTCATAGACTTTAGTAGCTTATATTTCGTATATATAAAGTGATTGGATAAATTGTTGATAGAATGATAATCTTACTAACATTATAAATGCGAAAGTTTAGATGGATGGATGTTTGTTAGTGTTTATAGCTTAAACTGCTGAATGAATCTCGATAAAATTTGGCACATATGTAGACGATACACTGGAAGAACACATAGGCTTTCAGTTTTTTTTTTATTCCTCGCGGACGGAGTCGCGGGCGAAAGCTAGTAATAAATACAATAGAATTATAGTAAGAATTAAGATACGAAAATAGGTTATATTAATCTTTATTGTCAAAAGTTATTAAATTTATCGCAACTTAGCGTCAAGTTACTTGTGAAATGCAACGTAAGCCTCGTTAAATCTAGTTTAATTATGACGAGCTTCCTGCATAGCTTTAAAGCTCTAAAGCTGCAGGAATAGAGATTTCCAAAGCTTATAAATATACGAGAGTTCCACATATCGCATCTTAGGAGCTGTATTTACATTTGCTTATACTTACGCCCCGACTTCACACGCACTAAATAATGTGACGCATGATCTAAATAAAAAAACAAACCGCTGTTCAGACTTCTGCATCAGCAGATAAAGAGGGTAGACACAAAAAAGATATATTTTCCCCTATCTATCTATTCCTTTCAAATTCACTAACACAGTGATTCTCAACCTTTTTTTTTTGTTGCCGCACATATTTAATGATTCGAAAATTTGGCGGCACACAAAGATTAAAAAAAATTACTTACTACAACTCACTGCATAAATAGTTTATGACAAAAAAATAAATATACGAAATAAACTAATATATGTCGGAGTTGGGTCTTTCTCCCCGACATCATTACTACCAGGTCTAGGTTTCGTGGGCGTCATTTGGGTGAAGTGCGAGCATCAAAACACTAGAGACACGGATTAACACAATATATTTCGGATTCTACGCTTATCACATAGCAAATCAACAACACCGACCGAGCAGCGGGTTCGTGGCACCGTTCTTACTTCTACTACACTACTTTCCTCAATCGACTCGCCACTTTGCCAACACGCACCACAACATGTCACTACAAACGCCGCCCTCTAAGCACTGAACTGCGCCTCGACCCCGCTCGAGCTAATAAAGGCCACTCGAGGCGCTTGCTCTGCTCTCATTGGTCGTATGCTAGTTGACGTACTTGTAATTTTAAAAAAGAACTAAATACAAATGACATCGAGTTTCTACTTTCGAGAAAAAGAAATTAAATTAACAATACTATCTTAAACAATATTAAAACGTAAGACAATAACGTTTGTTACACATAAAGCAACAATCAATTTATAGCTTCCTGCGACATATATATGTATAACAATAATGACTAAACGTTTGTTAAGGGATTAATTACAAGCTAATAATAAAAAAAAAGCGGCGCAGTGGTTGAGAACCACTGCACAACAGTTCACCACTCTACCTTGTACCAAAATAGTGGGAAGGGATGACCTATATGACATTTGTTAATGTACTTCATGTCCGGTAGAGGGCACTCCAATCAAATACAAATATCGAAGATGTTACAAAAACATTCTCACGATTATTCGAGATACGCCTCGTGTGTGTTCTCTTTTATTACTGTCGACAACACAGTATGTTACGGGAAAAAATTTAAATTACATTCTTCCGAGGCGAGGTAAAGGAAAAGAATTTAATATAATTTAAAATGCGACTACATATACAACTGTGTTATTAAGAACATTTAAACTTTTTATTAATAATTCTCTAGCAAAAACGTAGATATGTGTTACTGTAAATAATTCCATATGTGTGTAAATTTTTGTTTAATGAGTACACTTGCTTTGAAGAGACATTTAATTCGTATACTAAATCAGTCATACCAGACAGAGGACCTAGCATGAAAATTTTCGAGAAAAGTATTCGTAACGTCGTCAAAAATTTTTTTATGCTACTTCCATATTTACGAAATCTACCAAAAATATTATAAGTAAAGTATTAAAAAATTTAAAAAAGTGAAATAAACATTGGCAGCAGCGCTCTGAAATTGAAGCACTAAGTAAACAGTCGAGCCACTTGAGTAGCGAAAAACAAATTCATTTGCAAAAAAATTCATTAATGTGAACCGAATCGTATTGAAAGTCAACTTTAACTTATACTCGATTTTGCCCGCGACTTCGTCTGCGTGGAATTAAAAAAAATTACCTATGTATTCTAGACTATGATCTATATATATACAGTGGTAGAGCCCGCTTTAACATCTTCGCACGAATGGGCCGGCTCGCCCGGTGTAATACCACGACCACACAAAAAACAAGCGTGGATTGGAAGTAATTCCGCGTTTCGTCTGATGAGTGTGTTGACAGAGCCTTTTTTTAGTCTCTTTCCCTTTCCATCATTTTCTTAAGAGAAAAATGGGAAGGAGAAGTGGATTTGACGGTAGAGGAGACGCATAGAAAGGGGAAATGTCCCCTTTCATGTGCATCTCCTCCTCCGTCAGTTAAGGGTAGGCAACACATCTGCAAGTGCAGATGTTTATGGGCAGCGGTCGCTCTCATTTTGATGGATTTAGTTGTCCGCTTGCACGTTTGCCACCTTATATTATAAAAAAAAATCTATGCGAAATTTAGGCTACAAATTCTAACATACATCCATCCATCTCCATCCGCATTTATAATATTAGTATTAGTATGAAGTATGATTATTATTTTTTATCTGTGATTCCACTTCTACTTGTCGATCTATACTTCAACATTGTCACTTAACAATTGTCATCATGAACAAAATTTACAAATAATTTAATTTACACTTTTCGTATCCTTTACTATGTAAAATCAACAGTAAGTATACTTCATTTATTACAAATTAAACTTACTAATATAGTGTGTAAGTTTGTATGGATGTTTGTACGTATCTCTCAAACGATATATGAACCCCGTACCCGTCCAAATCCAGTTCCTCTAACCTTTATTTCGTTATTAGACAGTGGAAAGGGTAAGAGAACTGGAATTATGTATTTACGAGTTGTACTCCATGGTTATAATTTTTTTTATGACATGATAATTGTTATTGGTGTAAAAAGGCACGAAGCCTACAAACGACGATTTGACGGAAAGTGAAATGCGAAAGTTTAGATGGATGGATGTTTGTTAGAGTTTGTAGCCTAAACGGCTGTACGGATTTCGATGAAATTTGGTATATATGTAGAGGACGGTGTGACACAAACACATAGGCTACCTAATTTGTTATTCTTTTAATTCCACGCGGACTGAGTCGCGGACGAAAGCTAGTAATATTGTAAATGCGAAAGTATAGATGGATGTTTGTTAGTGTTTGATGCCTAAACTGCAGAACAAGTCTTTATGAAATTTGGCATGGATGAAGAAGATGACCTGGAGGAACACATAGACTACCTACTTTTGTTTGTTTTCTCCATTTGAATGGAGTCGCGGTTAAAAGCTAGTGTTACCATATTGTAAAATTTAAATAAATAGAATTAAGTCACGACCAAGCAGATAAGAACTTCGCATTAGGAGCTAACCATTGCAACGTTTACTATGGTCTCTGCTATTGTTAAAATTTAAACATAACTTTCCAGGTGTAGATGTGATCTTGTATCACATGTGTTTTTGCATCTGTGTACCCCAGTTGTGCTGTTATCCTTCTCTATTCAGTCCTTGTCTCGCTTGCCTGCCATTCTGCGTTAAAGGTACATTTCTTTACAAATGTTATAAATGCGAATGTTTAGATTTTTTATAATATAAGGCGGCAAACGAGCAAGAAGCAACCTGAATCCACCGAAATGGAAAGCGATCGCTGCCCATAAATATCCGCAATTGCAGATGCGTTGCCTACCCTTAATTGACGGAGGAGGAGTCGCACATAAAGAGGACATTTCCCCTTCCTGTGCGTCTGCTCCACTGTCAGATCCACTTTTCCTTCCCATCCTTTCATCTTAATAAAAGGAAAGAGACAAAAAAGAAAAGATTGGTGGATGTTTACAGCATAAGCCGCTGAACGGATCTCAATTTTATTTGCTACTACAGTGTTTGTAAGAAGAAGCGCACTTTATATCATTGTAAGAAACAAGGCAATTATTCTGTAAATCTGTTACAATGATTTTTCGCGACTGTACATATAAACTAAGAATTTAAAATAAAATGTTGTACGCAGGTGTGAAGAAATTGAATTTTTCTATATTGCCTTGTTATTCATTAACCTTATTGACCTTTTCAATGAATTGTGAACTCTATACCTTTGTGTTTTAGGTATAAAATGGTGCCAATGCTTCATCGTTAACTACGACAGCGAGGAAAACTTGCATCCATCTACACAACAGACCAACAAAAACCAAGATCGTTCTAAATGATTCATTCTTTGGATAATAAATTTGTATATATGTATATTTGCTTTTATTATACTAAAAGAAATCTGAAAGTAACCCTAGTGTGGAGAAATTAATTAAAAGGTTAGGATGGATGAGGTTAGAAAAGATTAGATAGATGAACGGATTGCGTGAAAGGTGACATCATGGGAGTGTTGCCAGATGACGGAAGAAAGATTAACCTGGAGAACTCTGGTGCGTCCCTAAGGGAGTTAATCAGTGATAAAGTCCAGAAAAGGGATAGCTAACCAGAGACAAAAATGTTCTAGCTTTGCTTTTTAAACGACCACTGAAACTGAAACATCTTTAAGGATTCAAACTATATGAAAATATGAAGATTGAACGTAATATGAAAGTATACAATATTAGGATATTCAGAAAAGGCAGAATAATGTCAACCTCTTTGTAATCTATGCTTTATAGAATTTGACTGAGTCATATTTATGTCAGTTTAAATATCTTTTGTGATGTGAGTTTCAAATAATCCGATATATTAAATCAAAATCAATGTGTATTTTTCTAACTAGTGGCTTTTTCTCTTGGTGTCCGTTATTATTTATTTGTCCTTGGATATTCTGCGTACCTCTTCCTATACCGTGTCTACTTCTGTTCTCTTCGTATAACCCAGAAGAACGCGATAAATCTGAACAAAAATTTAATGCATAACATTCTGATTTAATATTCTAGATTTCTTTTTTAATGTGTTGCTTCCTTTTGCCTATTCTTGTCAGTCCTTTTGTATCTTGCATACCTTTATTCGATTGCTGCATGGATGCGATCGTGGATCAAGATACATGCTGTACGAAACCAAAGGATAAAGGTACAGCGCCGTGTAAAAATAAATGCAAGAAACCGGACAAAAAACCAGACAATCCGTGCCCAACTGATAGCCACAAGTAAAACAAAAATGAACAAGCAAATAGAAAGAACAGAGAAATGTATAGCGGAAGATGTATTGGCTCCAATGCACGAGAAGAGCGTAGAAGAGAATGTAATCGAAGATTGAAAAGAAAGAATTCTATTGTTGCTGAAATTATAATTACGAAATAAACTATATATTAAATATAGAGAACTGTTGTATTATTTAATATTGTCCTCATCAACTTGCCTTTGTACCTATATAGGGTCGGCACAGTATGTACTCTTCCATACATCTCTATCAGCGTCATATCTGAATTCACTCTCTTAAGTATTTGCTCCTCCTTTCTTCGGTCTTCCTCCACCTTTATAGCCATCCACATTCAATCATATTGTTTAAAAACTCAAGAGGTCTTTTAACTTTTGTAAAATAAAATATTTATGGTTGGTTTTCTATTTCTGTATAATCTTTGATTAACCATAAATTGTTTAAAATATTCTACTCTGTAATCTAGCAATCAGATCTCGACTGTCAATACAATGTTTCAAAAACATTATGTGATTTTAAAAACTAAATAATATATTAACAATATTCGGTTAAAATTAAAACAAAATCAATGTACGTGGAAATAGCGAGCATTTTAAAATTGGCTTCATCATTATTCACATGTCCTTGGATATTTTGCATCCCCTTACCAATATTGGTAATATTATTTTCAACGCCGTATTTTAAACTACAATAATAACCAAGAAAACGCAAGTCTGAAGAATCCAGAATGTAACAATATTACGGAATACAGTTATTTTTATTACTGTACTAAAACCGAATACCTATGTGTTGCTTTATAGAATTTATTATAAGGTTTTGTGCAGCTTGCCTTCCTTGCTGTAGCTGTGCAAAAACCTGTGCATTACGAGAAGACCCTTTCAAAGAGAAGGACTGTACATGTACTTAAGCATGTAACAGGGCATATACATGTGCATATGTCCATGCATACCGATAATATGCCCATTTTTAATCATGATCTTTTGTGTACCTTTCATCTGTCCTAAATGTATTAGTTTATGCGTATGCCCTCAAGATACCACTAATGAAACTTAATTCCACTGCTTTTAGTCGTTTTATTTTATTCTTGTTTTATAGTAGGAAGATACATTAAATTGTTTAAACTTTCAAGAGACAATATCATAATAAAACTAGCTGTTTCGTTTGCATGCAATTTAAAAAACAAAAGCGAGTACACTATTTGTTCTTCTAGACTGTTCTCTACATCTATACCAAATTTCATTCAAATCCGCTCAGTCGTTTAGGTTACGAACTAAAACAAACATCCATCTATCTTAACTTTCGCATTTATAATCTTAGTGTGAAGTGTTATTATTTAACGGCTATCACCCGACGTCTATTTTTGTGGCTGCAACGACTAGTTTCGGACCCAGGGTGCATTTTCAGGTCGAGTATTATTGATGTCTTCGCGATCGCATCTCGCACCAGTGTGAGTCGGAAAAAATAGACTATTTAGTATTCTAAATAGTATAAATAGTATAAATAACTATTGTTAGAAATGGATATGCTTAAGAAGGAAGTGAATTCAGATATGACGGCTGATAGAGATGGAAGAGCAGGACATATTGTGCCGTCTCTTAAGGGAAAATGTCAAGATGATAGTAGAAAGGGGCAAACGAGAAGCCGATCCCGTAATATTTGATCCATGGAAATCTCCAACGCAAAAGAAACTGCACATGCGTCGAAAGGTCTGACTGATGGGCGGCAATAGCCACTGCAGGCTTGATGATTAAGGGGTGATAAGGTGAGAAGGAACTACTAGTAAAAATACTTATATTAATTCTAAAAAGATTTAAAATGTCTCACGAAAGTTTAAACAATTTAGTATATGATAGTTTATTTCAGTTTCTACAAAGAGTGCAACGCTACAAACTTTACGCTTACAATAAATTGAGTTTAAGAAAAATGCACAAAGATTTTAAAAGCACTGTTGTAATTTTGTTTAATTGTATAATTTTATTCAATTACTTTTTTATGTCCGTTTAAAAACAAACCTGCTTTGTATAATTAACATTAACAGAAACAGTATTAAACGCAACATTTTTACATCATAAAAATGCAGCCATTTGTATTTCTGAAATAGCGAAGTGAAGATAACCATAGGCGTCTGAAATTGTAAAATTTGCCTACCTTTAATCAATAAAAAGGCGCACAGAAAAGGGATATTTTCTCTTCCTATACGTTCCTTTCTGTCTCAAAACCATCAATTCCCATTATATCCTTACTAGCTTTCGCGCGACTCCGCCCGCATGGAATTAAAAAAAAAACAAAGAGAGTAGCTTTTGTGTTCTTCCAGAGTATCCTCTACGTCTACGCCAAATTTCACCGAGATCCGTTAAGTCGTTTAGGCTACAAGCTCTAACAAACATCCATCGATCTAAACTTTCGCATTTATAATATAAGTAAGAAGTAAGATTAGTAAGATAAGGGAAGAAACAAATGCACATATATGTTACATAATTGTTATATTCCACATACTAATATATTTTTTATATAATATAAGGTGGCAAACTAGCAAGCGGACACCAAAATCCGCCAAACTGACGAAGCAACCGCCGCCCATAGACATTCGCAATAGCGGATGCGTTGTCTACCCTTAATAGACGCAGGTGGAAACTCACCTGGAAAGTATACCGTCCGTATCCTGCACCGTCAAATCCACATTCCCTTCCCATCCTTTTCTTATAAGATAAAGGGTGGGAATGAAAAGGGACTAAAGTTGGGCCTTTAAATAAAATACTACGATAATAAAAATGTATTAACCGTTTATTGCTACCAAAATATCCAAATAAAACTTTCGACTAAATTAAAATGAACACAAAATTGTATATATTATTTGTATAGTAGAGTTTTTTTTAACAAAACTTGCATTTTAATAGAAATGTCGTTTACAGTAGCATAGTAGAGGACAACGGACACAGCACAACGTTCTATCTTAAACACTTTCGACCCTTATCTGCAAATTGGGTTTGCGCTCGGATTCTCGCGGAATAAATTCCACTTGTATTGTACTGTGTATTTTTGTTTTTTCTTAAACTCAATTAAATAGTGTGAATTACAGTATACTAGCTTTCGCCCGCGACTTCATCCGCACAGTATTAAAAACATACGAACTGTGAAAAACAAAAATACCTATCTCTCGGTAGCCTGACATTTTTCAGGTATGAACCATCCTATGCGTTATTTCAGGCTTTTATCTGTACTAAATTTCATTAAGATTTATAGAACCATTGCCGAATTATCAAATAAACATGAATAATAAAACAAAATTAACGTATCCCAGAACCATAACTATTTCCATGATAAACATTAACCTATGTGTTCTTTCAGACTATCCTCTATGTCTATGCCAAATTTCGGATTTACAATATTAGTAATATTATTAGTTGATGTAACAAAACCATAAGCTCCATATCTCAAAGGTGTAGGTAGAAAGGAGGTTAATCTGACAACCAAATTCGCCATAATTGCGAAACGGCCGCTGCCTATGGACATCAGCATTTATAGATGCGTTACTTACCTGTATTGGACAGAGAAGGAACAGAAAGAGAAAATTTTTCTTTCTGTGCACCTCCTCCACCGTCAAATTCACCTCCCCCGAGAGTAAATGACCAAAGTTAGGCACCCAGTACAAAAAACCAACTTTAACATTTACATTATCAGGAAATTTGGTATACGGCAGGTATAGCTATTGTTCCAACTCTGGGTAACTCTTAAGCATACAATGCAGAACAATACCTTGGTATCTAAGCTACATTGTTAACTTTAAGTTATATTTTGTTTACTTAACGACACCTATAACTATGGTACTTGTTTTACGTCGCTACACATTTTATGACTTCTGCAACTAAGCAAAGTGTCGTCTAAAATGTGCATACGTTACACAACTTTGTGAAATTCTATACAAAGTGTTTACATAATTTACAACTATTTCCTTGTTGTAAATTAAGAGCGCACACATGTAACTAAATTATCGCACAACAGCTGCTTGCTCTAGTCTTGCTTTGATTACTATGAGCTTAGGGGCCGTCCATATATTACGTCATTCTAAATTAGGGGGGGTTGGTCTGCGGATGACGGTAAATGGTAAATAG